CGTTCCTACCACTTAAAAGTCCTCTAACGATGACTGAATCTCTGCTGTGAACACGTTCTTTCAGACAAAAATCAAAGTGCAATGGTGTAAATTTTGCAACCGACAACTATCAATCATTGGTTCTACCGAATTGCAACGACCAGTTCCGTCAAAGATCGCCCTCTTCACTGCTAAATTTATGACCAATTGCACTGTTATTTCCATTGGAAACGCGAATTTGAGCGGGAAAAGATTGGAATGAAGGAGAAAGTATGAGAAATGAATAGAGATTTGTGCGATAAGCTTACCTGTAAAAACATCAAATGCAGCCATGCGGCAGCAAATTTCGTCTTGAATGCAAACATATAATCGTCATGAAACACACAATAGGCACTATGAATTTGGCAGGTGAAATGTACTATCATGCGATGTTTTGAGCCTAAAAAAATTCAGATTCCAAAAATTTCTAAAGGAAAAGAAGCAGGTGTCTTTCTCGATGGACATACTTTTCGATCCTTCAACAGTGCATTGAATTGGAATTGGGAACCGTGTTGATACATCTCCAATATATCGTCGAATTTTATTCCGTCGATGATCGACAAATTGTAGCACAACGTCAGAACGATCCACAGACTTCTATATTTGAATAAACTCTCCTGCTACTTGAGAAATCAACCCTATAAGAAAGTTAGACACTTACTGCCCATTGCCGTTCTTCCTCTTCGCTCAGAGGGTGCATTTTTGTCGTGGTAATTGGTCCAGCATTAGCCGGAAAGGTGGTTTCGTAGCCTGATGCCCAATTCGCTGTTCGGCGGGTTCCAGCTATAGGTCGGACTCGGCCATCTTTACCTATCTAAATAAAGGTTCCAAAAGATTAAGGATTGGGGAAAAGTACAGTGAAGTTTTTAAGAATAAGCGGATCTAAAAGCAATCCTTTCCAGATGAAGTGTTTCCCATTAGTGATTTTTAATTTTGAAATGAAATCATATAAACTATCGCTAATTAGAAAATGAGTTATTCATAATATTGATCGGCTACAGATTCATGTTTATATGGTTGTTTTTGGAAAAGAAATTTCG